GTAAAAGGAAGGAATATAAAGTTGGTTTATTTGATCAAGGTTAAAATAAGACTTTTTTTTTGCAATGTTCTGGCAACCCAGACTTTCTCCTGACACCAGCACAGAAAAGATGATGTTTTATGGATTTGTTTATAGATAAGAAATGGGATATGGGATGAAGAGATAAATGTTTGCAACCTTAGAGGTGGTGAAGAGTCACTAAATTTGTTTATACTTGTGATGAAGATTGGAAGTCACTTCTTTATATATTTTTTTCTATTTCTTTTTTCTTGCACTTAACTCTTTCTATTCTCTTTAAGTTTACTTTGTATTAGATTTTATTATTATAATCAAAATTCTTTACATACACACATGCACATTTTATTAAGAATTTCAATTATAACAGTAAAATCCAATACAAATTATAAATAAATAAAAGGACTATTGTATGCAATTTCATGCATGCACACTCGCAGACACACACACACATGCATATACAAATTATCTGAAAGATATCATGGTGCAGTTCATCTGCCTGTATTGCTCCAAAACATGGTAGAGGTTCTACTCTTTTATATGAATGTTAACCTAACCATGAAAATGGCCAACTGCCTGTCAAACAAAACTGCACAGTCTATGGGAATCATAAAGAGTAGCTAATGAGAAAGTTAACTGCAGTTTTTCGTACAAATCCATTACATCACATTCTTCATCACAAAGAAATTGGTGATGCTTATTAGACTTTACAAAGGATGCATGGGAAAGTTTACTGAGACACAAATATTGTATACACAATGAAAAGAGAAGGTATAGTGAATGTTGCAGAATTCCCACACACTTTATGTACTCAGTGATTCACAACAAATCCAGAGTCAACAACACTGTCTTTTTCATACATGAATTTTACAGACAGCTAACCTGCTTACCATCAGTCCTTTGCAATATGATTAGATAACAAGACAATAAGATGTCCCTCCATCTCAATCCATGGAGCATGGCTGTCAGCAGGGAAACCTGGTGATTTTAGGGTATTAGATACTTGGTCTTGTTGTAGTTGCATAATTTTCCTTGTTGTTTAACTCTGCTATTTTAAAATGGTGACCAACAGTGGCAACAAGGGCATTTTGCTTGCAATGCTGTACATACACCTTCTGTATGTCATCAAGCGATAACGCTGAGGTTTCCTCAATAGTAATTCTTAGCATAGCACAGCTTTTGAGTGGTGCTGGTAATTGCTTCCAGCATGATTATGTGTCATCCTGACTCATTGCTCTCCTTGGTTTTTTCCAACTGGTGGATATTTTGTGGTATAGAAAACACTAGGATAAGGTAGTATTATTATTGTCCTCAATATGAAGCCAGGCCAGCATCAGAGGGACAAGAGTAAAACTGTAATTGCCAGGATGTTCCAGTGATGCTGTAAATAATTAACAAAGAAACGTTCAGTAACAGCAATGAATCACTTGCTCCAAATTCCCTTTAGTAAATCAGTGAGTTTTCAGGAAAAAGGAGTATCTCAAGCTGTTTTATTACAGCCTCATCAATTTATAACTGCTTTTTTGTATCATTTTGTGGCAATCATTTTAGCTTCCCACACCCCACAGCTAGCACTCACCAGCTGTGATAAGCATGGGGAGACTTCTTCAATGCGATGCATAGCATTTATGGTTAATGCTGCCCAGGGGCAAGGTCCTTCCCATCAGCTGATTGGAAATAAAGAGTTTTTCCCTAACTTACATAGCAATCAAGCTTTAAAAAACATCAATTGATGCCAAGGACTAACTGCTCTTGCCAAATGCTGCAGTTCTTTTGAAAAATTATTTGCTATGCCCCAGACACTTTAGAAATCTCTACCAGTTCTAACACAAGCTCTAAAAAATGATAATTGATGTATGTATGAGAAAGACAAGTGCAAAAGAATGAACCGAGTATGCGCCTGTACGTGTGTATATGCACAAGCAAGAGAATGGGTTCAGTGTGTAAGAGAGAACTGAGACTTACATTTGACTACGGCTGCAAGAAAACATACTGAGCCCTAACCACTGCGTGCATGCAGCTGACCTATTTGCCCAGAGTCAAATTTGCCTTTGGATTCATTATCTGTTTCCCACTTCGGCTGTAATGAGAGTATCAGGAACCCCTAAAAACGAAATAGAAAGGCTGTGTGCACAAACTGAAGCATATAACAAACTGAACTCTGTTCCTAAAAGGGCCCTCCAACTTTAAAATGAGGTTCCAGCTCCAGATCCTCCTCTTCCTCCTTCAAGTCTTGATTGGGCACAATATAGTTATCTTCTATGAAACCATCATCATCCTCTGGAAGGCACACAGGAACTCCACTAATTGGTTGGTTCCTACCATACGTCATGTCCATGTCTCCTTCCTCAACATGGCTGCTTCCAATGGAGCGGGAATCAGGCAACCGTTGATGGTGGTAACTGGCATGGTTTTTCTGGAGCAATTTGCATTTGGCAATCAGTGCAATCAGGAGGGAGATGATGACAGCCAAAAGCACAAAACCAGCAAAGTAGATCCAGTTTTTCCCACCCTTTTTATTGGAAGGTATGGTAGTAGATGCTGCAAAGAAAAGAAAGGTTATACAGTTCAAGAGCTATTAATGTACTGCAAGACCTGAGGCACCTGCAGCAAACTACAATAATGCCAAAATGATAACATGGGCATGATGATGTCATTGTGTAAATGCTGCCATTACATTCTTGTGTCCTGACATATGATGCAAGTATGCAAGTGTGGCATTTGCATCATCATACTATTTCATCACTTGCCCCCATTTGCCCTCCCCGTCCCCCTGTGGATGACCTGGGCAATGCTCTCTTTTAGTTGCAATTCCAAGCTTGCAAATCCTATTTAAACTTTTATGTAGAAGCAAATCCCATAGAACTCATAGCACTTGCTTCTGAATAAATATGATTGCCTCTGTATTATCCCCTTACTAAATGTGAACAGGGAATAAAAAGAAGGAAAAAAGCTCCATGAGAGATCTAGCTTCCCTTATGAAGAAATAAAACACCATTTGTCATCTCTGTTGCAATGGACGACATTCCCTAGAAAATGAAATCCATTATTGTGGAGTGAGCTGAGTAGTGAAAATCCATACCCAGTTATATGACTGATGACCCTTTTAATTCTTCAATATAACCTGAGGTAGAGGAATACACTGAGGTATAGACTGAGAAATGGGAAAAGCAGATATAATTGGGTTCACATCACATACTAAACCACAGAGTGGTTGACCACATTTTGGCCCAGCATTATGTGCAAGCCCAGCCTAAGCTGTTAGTTTATAGGTTCAGTGTGCTGTATAGACCCAGGCAACTGGGTTAATTGAGTAAACCATGGTTATGGGTAAGGGTTGTACCATACCCAAATAGGCTGATATCAACACGAAGTACAACCATTTCATGTATAGAGTTGTGGACTTCAGTGAGACTGATACTGAAATACCTTCTGGGGCTTTTTTACATTTTACAACCATACATAATCTTGACTTAAAATAATAGTGACTAAAAATGTGCTAGGGATAATCTCCCAAAGAAGAAATCAAGAACAACAACAAAAACCATAAGTGGCTAGTTCATTGGTCAGGGCATTAGATATCAGGCTGTTTTAGGACTGAATCATTTGTGATCAGTTTTTTTTTTCCTCCTTTGTTTTGTGTGTCCATCCATGAGTCTGTGTGCAGATTTAGGGTTTGACTGATTACCCCAATATAAAAAAGCTGCTTAGTAGCTACTCTTAAAAAGATGGGTATTAAATACAAAAACAAAGTCATCTTCCTAAAGTCATCTTCTTTTTTTATCTTCAAGGGGACGATTTTGCAAAGACTGATAGGGAAGAGAACACTGATCAAATCAGATAGCCCCCCTCCCCCCCATTTTACTTCATTTTGTCACAGCGCACTCATTAAGACTAGACTTCTGTCTCCTACTCATGGGAGCAGTATTTTTTGTTCAGTCTGTATAGATATATTTGAAATATCACTGGGGAATCTATTAGTGCTTCTAAAGCAAAGGAAACAAACATTCCCTTTGGTTGTGTGCCATTACCATTCAGTGGGAACAAGTATACTTGTCAGGTGGACATTTACTCAAACTTAGTATGCATTTCCTGGAATTGTTTTGTGTTAAAACCCTTGTCTAGATATAATCATTGTAGAACAGACTTTCTCAGCCTATTGTCTTCCACCATGATTTCAACTATAGCCCTTATTTCATGCAGCCATCTTCATACACCCACCATAACTCTTAGTGATGGAGTTGCAATCAAACACCTTGGAAAGGTACCTTTTGGGGAACAGTGGGAAAAAGTGATATTTCTTATTATTGCAGTTCAGGATTCCCATCACACTTTTATCAAAATAGGAACTTCCCCACTGCCAAATGTCCCAGTTGGTCTGGATCAGCAATGAATAGAACAGTAAACGTCACCTGGCTTGTGATGACTGGGACTCTAGTTCTCCTCAATGAAAACATTGCTAGAGAACTATTTGATGGTTTGGCACTTGTGGCGGGGGCGGGGGGATGCCAAATGAAAAAATACTGTAGGATTATGCTATTACACTGAATCTCAAGGTTGAAGTTGTATATCCTGCTTTACTTACTATCATTCACTAATGGTGATGGCCTTTCTGTAGCCTCAGTCTGAAGGAACTGAAGTTTTCTTCTGTATCTCAGAGTCTGATAATCTGAAGCTCGAATCTCTTGAGTCTGGAGTTCTAGGTTTAAATGATAGAAAATCTGTTTACTAAAGGAAATAGCTTCACTGTTTATTTCTGTTGCCAAACATCTTGATTTATGTTGGTTCTTACATTTCACTGATACAATACGTGCTGACATTCTTTTACAACATTTAATAAGGTAATACAATAGATACAAAACTTTTTCATTCATAAATTTAGGCTGCTCAAATATCCTTGCTTTAATTTTTAAATTACTTTCCACATGTGTTTATATTCCAGTCCATTATTTAAGGAAGGGGGACGCAGTGGCGCAGCGGCTTAATGATGCTGAAAGTTGTCGGCCAGAAATGGTC